ATTATCTATACTAAGGGAAATGAGGTGGGGGTCGGCTAAGCCTCACAATGAGCTAGCAATAATATGATTTAAATTCGCCTTTGGTAAGAATTGAACCTAAGACATTTTACTTACAAGTGAAAATAAATACTATTAGACCGTAGTACTAAGTAGCACTTTACCGTATTAATTAACTTACTTGCATTATTCCAGAGCTTTAGGGGGAAAAGATCAGTGACTAATTAATATGGTAGGGTAATTCGATTTTTAATTCAAATACGAATTGAAGGGTCACCAAGTCATCGCTGTGCACTTGTATTCAATGATCCTTAACTACTTCTTTGACAAATATTTGTACAATCCATCCAACCATAAATAAATACAATCCATCCACAGTAGACATTTGTAGAAAAATTGCCTCCTAGACCTCTCGCCACGAAGCGTCCACTTTACCCTTTTCTCAATGTGACGCTTGGCCACTAAATTAAGAGTCTCCCCATGATAAAGATATACGGACAACAACATTTTCCCCTTTTATTTTTCTCTCTCGATGACGAGAGCAATTTACATAAATATTGTTCACCGCCATAATAATATTGTAATCTATTAAAATAATAATGTGTTGAAAAATTTACATTGACAAGACACTCATTCTTGCAAATGGTGACGTTACGAACAACTATTTAACAGATGTATAATATATTATTTAAATACATAACAATTATCTGTGTCGTTAGTAGTGTGCCCCTGTAATACATTGAATGCAATGTGAGAGTTTGCCCCCTCATTTGAACATTTGTCTATGTCCTTGTCTTTTCTAATTTCTTGGGTAAACATGCTATTTTTATCACAATTTTTATATCATGTTTGTATCACCTATCTAATAGAGACAATATCATGTTTGTATCACCTATCTAATAGAGACAATCTTCATATGTGTTAGTAGATTCTTTTTTTTATTAGAGAGATAATACAAATATGATATTAAAAATGTGATAAATGTAGCATTACGGTTTCTAGGGCAGTGTGGATGGATTGGACAGAGACCTAAGCTAGCTATTTGGATATATTTGATGAGTAAAAGTGTTATTCGTTTGTCATTATACCTTTAATCAAATAGTGTTTTTAGCTTTTGGGAGTATTGCATGCCGTAATTGGCGTATGATGCGGCTTTTGAAGAGTGTTCATACAGTGCTTCATAAGATGCTAAAGCATATGTTATACACTAATAAATTGTGTTCCAACTAATCCGTACCATTTAACTATTCATTCCGAAGCAAAACGGATTAGTGACTTTATGTTTGATTTGTGTTCGTTAGGGTTTATTTTAAATCAATTACCATTGGCATTGTCCAAGATACGCCTTGCCAACTTGGGAATAATATGGAGTGATTACCAATTAACCGCAATATTAGAGGCCTTAATCCTAACCCATTTGTGGTTTTAGAGGATGTATGGCCGAAATATATATCTCTTACAGTACTTATTACATGACAATAAAAATATATATGAAAAGATAATCCCAGCTAGATCACGTGGCAAAAAGTATTATAAACGTAAGGGAAACTGCTTATTTAGTCATTGAATTTTCATATGAGTAAAAATTAGATCCGTAAATTATTTTTTAAGAAAAATCATTCATTGAATTATAAAAATCTGCCAATTACATCCCTAATATTAGATTCAAAACTATTATATTTAATTTTCCGTCAATTTAAGTCACGTTACTTGTATGTGATGCATATTGAATGGTAGATTAGTAATTATTCCTAGAAAAATATGTATGAAATTAACTTTGGAGAGTATATTAGATATTAAATTAGCAACCTTTATGAAATGTTAAGAACTTATAGATGAGAAAATAACGGTATTACACTCTAAAGTGTGTCAAGTAACTTAAGTTGACGAAAAATTGGATAAAATAGCTTTGAACATATTAGTAAGGATGAAATTAGCAATATTTAATGAATTTAGGAACTTATTTTACCAAAAATAATAATTCAGTAACCTAATTTTTACTGAGGTGATAATTCAGAGACTAAATCGACACTTCATCCAATAAAAATATGAAAATATATATAATAATATGTAAGAATTTCTTCTCATCCAATAAGTCCTAGTGTTCACATATTAAACGAACCAAAAGCAAATCTTCGAATGTTACAAAGTCCAATTGGGCAACGTACAAATTGATCAGTTGCATCGTGACTCGAATAAATTCTTGACAAATGACAGTGCTCTGGTAGTGGCTCACAGACGGAGTTTCCTATGTGCTTTGTCCGTTCGTCACAGTGAAGAACAAGAGAGTGACAAGTAGGTGCTTCTATTCGGTTCCTCTCTTATCTGTTCGTTGTCTTCAAACAAATTAATGTCAGCAAATCTTGACTCTTCTTCAACTTAAAAACAATAATATATATTATCTTGCTAGGGTTTCTAGATAACTTACTTAAATCCAACGTGCATTTAGAAAATAATGAAGATTTATATGTAATGAATTCATTATCTTAAACTGTCTTAACTCAATAATTCGTTGTCATATAAAGAATTCCATGAACCGTTTCATATGAGTCCTTTTATTTTTTATACGACGATAATCTATTGTAGGGGGAGAGGGATATGGAATTGGGTTAGGCTAGAAAATAAATGAGTCAGTAACTAAATATAGAACTCAACAGAAATATAATATGTCATCGTCATTCATTTAAGTCCAACTTAAGACTTTTTACTTACTAATAAAAAAAAAATCATTACTTCTAACATACTAGTTGACGTATAAATCATTCTAGATGAAATTGTGGAATACTGATGGTCCTTTTATCCCAGTTGGGGACGTTCTTCTTCATATTTAAAGGCTGCTCTTTGACTTTAGAGTTCACGTGGTGCAGATTATACTCACCTAATCCCACATTCCCAATTTCCTAATTAGTATAAACGGATGCCATCACTGATTAAACAAGTTGCAGAACATTCCCGTTTTATCTCTCTTGCACTACCCCTAATACGCATGCAAGCAATATTCCCATACTTATCATTGTTTTTTAGACTAAGTGCTGCACTAACGGCTATACTTTTGGTATTTTCCAGCGTCGAAAGTTCCTATAACATAATCTGCAGGAAGATCATATTATTATAAATCAATTTACGATAGGGAAGTGTTTCTGACACTCAAAAAATCTATTCTACACTCCTTAAAAGTGTATTTTTCTTTCCTATTATAAAAAGTTTGAAGGGTAGAATGAGATTTTTGGAGTGCTAATAACAATTCATTTACGATAAATGAAAATCATTATTTCGAAGTGTAATATGTATAAAGGAGTGCTGAAATTTAATTACTTCTTCTGTTGGGAGTTGATCTTGTTGGAAGTTGGTGAGTGGGGAACTGGGAAGACATGAAACTTATTAAAAAGGATGATGAAATTTACGAGGAAGACAAGAAAGAAGAAACCTGCTCTCCATCATCTTAAATCGTTCTGGTTACAATGCTTTAAGTTGTTTGTTTGTGTGTACATTTAGGTGTTAGCTAGGAGTTCATGTCATAATTTTTATGCTATTGCATCCCGGCACACATGTGTATCATAATAGAAAGTTGAGGTTTTCACCATCTGATTGGCATTATGGAGAGCAATCCAACTTATTTAAGGTCATTTCAAAACGCTCTCTTATGTGTGGCGAATATTCAAGTTAAACATGTGAACAATACAAACGGGGTGATATGAAGCATGTGTGGCAGCTGAATTTTCCATGGGGCCAATCTGCTATGATAATATGAAGAAAATTTGAGGTTACATCATAAAATCAATCGGCAATATATGGAGTATAACCCAACTTACTTTTAAGCCCATGCAAAATCTCTTCTCCATCTATATGGAATTTATTCTCAACAATCACCTTCACATGAAATACAAATGCCTAGACTGTTAAGAAAACACTACTAAAACTCTAAGGTGCCATTTCATAATTTCGCTTTAAAATTTTTGGTGTGTACTTTCATTTGTTTAGAAGTGAAAACAATTTTTATTTGTCATGCCTAAACGATGTCTAATATGAATAAAACGTTATCAGTTATGAATTTATATAGTGAAAGTACGTTAATCACAATGAGAGAATAAGGTGGTGTATCCATGGGTGGTGGATGCAAGTACCGTTCACCTTTGTATACTTGGACTTTGAAAATTAGGCTATGTTTGGGTGAGAGATTTCTATGTACCAAGGCTACGACATGGTTAAGATTCTAGTTTTTCTTTAAAACCTAATCGTTTGATAATCCAATGTTTTATATTTGGGCCAAGGTAAATGAATAGGTTTAAACTCAGGTGGGCTCTCATCACGAACTTCACACTTTTTCACTTTGTTTCGGGTACAGAAGCCCAATCCGTTTCCTTCATTTGTAGACTAGGCAGGCCTGTTAACCCGATCCAAGCCTTTTCCTTCATGTGGGCGCGCCTGAGCTGTAGTAACGGCTACTAATTTGAACTATCTGGCAAATTGACTAATTTGTCCTTTTAAGCTGAGCCTTATTTCAAAAAATTATATTTAAAATAAATAAATATTATATTTTCATTGAGAAAACAAAATTAGAAGAGATTTTAGTTTTAAAATATAAAAATAACGAGTGTTTTTTTTTATCCACAATTGAAGATAAGAGAACAAAACCATAAAGTAAAATAAAATTTTGGATTACAAGTGTAATATATTCACAAGAAATTTTTATTCTATTTTATGGTTTACTATATTTGAAGTGGATTTGGTAATTTGTGGGACAAAACAAATTTGATGATGTTATAAATATGACCGTTTTATGTTGTATGCGGTCTATGATATATACTGACTTCTTACTAATATCTAGTGAGAAGAATCATCCATAAAAAAGAAAAAAGAAAAAAAAAAGCATGGTTTAAATATTGACATAAATTTATACATTTTCACACTTCAGTCATTTTCCTATTTTTTGAATTAATCATTAGTTTGAAAAATATTAAAAATAAAAACATATCAAAATCATCTTTCTCAACGGTCATAATCCCTCTCCTCCTCCACGTTTAAAAAAACAACGCTCTCCTTCCTCTCTCTCCAACGTTTTCGAATTCAAACTCTCTCTAGATTGCTCGCGATCTTAGAACAATGAGGACGAAGAACAAAAACACCGACAGCGCCGGCGAGTCTCGGTTTTTAGGAACCATTTCGGCTTCTTCGCTTCGAAACCTCCTTCCCAGATCCACTTCCACCAAGAACAGCAAATCCATCTTCAACCTTCGAAACCCTAACTCCGAAAACACTCCTCCACTCAGTCCTAACATCCAGACCAATCGCCACGCTGGCGACGATCCGTCTGCTTCGCCAATCAAGCCTGTACTCTCCGATCTGTCCAAATCTCAGATCACAGAATCGGACGGCCAGGAACAAGCGTCGGCTGCTCTTAACTCACCAACGGTGAAGGGATTTATGAACTATTGTTTACGTTTATTGTCTAAATTCGGAATCTGAGAATTAAGAACCTAAGCAATTTGAAAATTGAATATTAGAAGCTTAATTTTTGAAACTGCTTAATTTTCAGAGTGTGATTGATCGATCCAACGGTCAGGGTGAACTCCTACCACCTCTGGACCCATCAGTGAAGGTAATTGAAATTTTTTTCATTCATTTACATATTTTTTGTATCATTACCTCTTGTTTTTCTTATTTTCTTTGGGTTTTTTAAATTTGTACAGGTTGTGGTGAGAATTAGACCTACTAAAGATGGTGCAAATTGGGGAGATCGGACAGTTAAGAAGGTTTCTTCGCGCAGTTTGTCCGTTGGGGACCGTACATTTTCATTTGATTCGGTTTTTGATTCGAAATCCGGACAGGTAAGATTCTTTGATTAGTATGGAGTTACATTTTTAAGCTCTGAGTAGGTGAAACCTGAACAATATGAAGAGTGAGGAATTGGATTTTGTTACTCTTCTTAGCTTCGACAACAAAAGTCAAGTGGATTTTGATTCATGGTTACTTTTTTGGTTCGTACCAGGAAGATGTTTTTCAGATGGTTGGTGTGCCTGTGGTTGAAAATGCATTAGCCGGTTACAATACTTCCATCTTGTCATATGGACAGGTACGAATTCATATCCGTAGATGAAAGTCATTTGAACTAGGACAATTTTGTATTTGTTGTGTGAATACCTTTTATTGATTTCTCTTTAGAGCGGAAGTGGCAAGACATACACACTATGGGGTCCGCCGAGTGCTATGGTTGAGGATGCCTCTCCTGGAAGTTGCCAAGGCATTGTTCCACGCATCTTCCAAATGTTGTTTTCTGAGATTCAAAGGGTACGCTTTTTGGTTTCTTGTTTAGTTTTATAGCTGGAAAATTGCGAAAGCACTAAGTAGGCGTGTATTGACATGTATTCATTAATGTTTGTTTGGGATTTGTACATGCAGGAGCAAGAGAACTCTGAAGGGAAACAGTTGAATTACCAGTTCCGTTGCTCTTTTCTCGAGGTATACTTGTTCTTACGTTTCTAAATTCTTTCTATAATATATAGCCTAGTATCCTTATTTAGTAATGTGGTTTGTAAATTTTTCTCTACCACAGATATATAACGAACAAATAGGAGATTTACTTGATCCAACCTTGCGGAACCTTGAGGTGGAGGTTTTCTTTAATATTAAGTTCTTTCACTGATGCTTGTTTTTCAATTTTTTGGGTACATTAGTAAATGCTTAAGATACTAATGGGTATTACTTTAATCTGTTTTAGATTAAGGATGACCCAAAAAATGGATTTTATGTTGAGAATCTGACTGAGGAGTATGTGACTAGCTATGAGGATGTGACACAAATTTTGATTAAGGTGAGCTATGTACGTACAATTTTCCATTTACCATCGAGGTCCAAATGTCTATTTTTTCTCGTTTTCTGCTTCACATACTCATCAAGTTTTCTGTACCTGGAGCAGGGGCTTTCAAGTAGAAAAGTTGGAGCAACTAGCATGAACTCCAAGAGCTCAAGGTCCCATATTGTTTGTACATTCATCATCGAATCCTGGTGTAAGGTAAATGCACATTGAAATTTTAGATCTACTAATGGGATATTATTTTTCTAGAATAGAAGGTGGTTTAATTATTAGTTTCGTGTCTGTCACTTGAGCGTAGTGCTTAATTACTTCATTCTACAGGAGACCTCATCCAAGTGCTTTGGTAGCTCAAAAACAAGCAGGATGAGTTTTGTTGATCTTGCTGGCCTGGATAGAAATAAAGGTGATGATGATACAGGTAGAAAATGTGCGAGGGAAGACAAATATGTAAAGAAGTCATTGTCAAGGCTTGGGTATGATTCCGCAACCTTCTTCTTATCTGATTCCTTCACTTTCAAATTTCATAATTTTTCCATCAGGCACCTAATTGTAGACAACTTCTTGTTACAATATGACGAATACATCCCCGATGACAACATAAGAAAAATAGTTGCTCACTATTACTTTCTTCTGCATTAAATTATTATTCGTACACAAGGATCTCTTTTATGGAAAGATAACAAAGCTTTTGAGTATTTCTAGACTTTGACGATCATTTGTCTATGGCCAGTACTGTAACTTTTCAAGGATTAATGTTGTTATTTTGGTGCAGGCTTTTGGTAAATACTCTTGCAAAAGCGCCTCAGTCTGGAAAATCTGAAGATGTTCCATTTAAGTCTTCCTGCTTAACAAATTTACTGCGAGAATCAATTGGTGGCAACTCAAAACTAACTGTCATATGTGCAATTTCCCCAGATAACAAGTATTTGACTGCACTCTGCTAATTGCTTTTTTCCTATGAAGTTTGATTTATTATTAATATGCTTGGATACTTGCATAGCATACATACATTTACTGATGAAACATGTAGTCAATGTATTGTAAGTCCTCGGAAAATTGATTGTGCTTGTCAAATGCAGAAATAATGGTGAGATACTGCAAACACTAAGGTTTGGAGAACGAGTGAAATCTGTTAGGAATGAACCAGTAATAAATGAAATAACAGAGGATGATGTTAATGATCTGAGTGATCAAATTCGCCAGTTAAAGGTACTAAGTTCTTTGTAGTTCTATCTGGAATTCTGTCATAAAGGCTGAACGTGATAGAAATTTGAGATTTATGAAATGTGTGTTTTGCAGGAAGAACTTATAAGAGCAAAGTCTAGTGGATCGCTTGTGATTAAGAACGGATATTTCCAAGGGAGAAATGTACGTGAAAGCTTGAATCAATTGCGGGTGAGCCTGAATCGATCTTTGATTTTACCCAGCATAGATAATGATTCTGATGAAGAGGTAAATATGGATGAACATGATATAAGGGAACTACGTGAGCAGCTAGATGAGCTGCATAATTCTTATGAGAAGGATATTAGGGACAATTCTGTCAGTAAAGATTCTGATCAGTTGGGTGGAAGTTGTGATACGGACTCGATAAGGGAAGCTGACTTTCATAGTTCAGACGAAAAAGAAATCGAGGTATTTGAAGAAATTGATCTGGAATTTTCTCAGAATGAGCTTCCTCCTAAGGACAACAACAAATTGGCAGAAAACCTTTCTCCTACCACCGCCAGTCTAGAAAACAGAAGTGGTGTTTCAATCAGTTTATGCTGTCAGTCCCCAGTCCTCCAAGACCCAACACTGTCTGAGTCTCCAAAAATTGGAAATGCACAAAGAAAGAGTGTCACTTTTGCACCAAGTTGTTCAGTTAGTCAGAACAATGTACCAGACAATTCCAAGTTCAAGTCAGATGTATTGAGACACTCACTTAACCAAAGTGAAAACATCCAATCCTCTTTGCGCTCAAGCAAGATATTTCCAGGCCCCACTGAGTCATTGGCTGCCAGCCTCCAGAGGGGCTTGCAGATAATTGACTCCCACCAGCAGAACTCCAAATCAAGCAAATCTGCAGTCTCGTTCTCCTTTGAGCATTTGGCATTGAAACCTGTTAAAGCTAATTCTTCATCTCAAACATTACCAGAAACAAGGCCATCCATAGATGGGCCATCTTCTTCGTTCCTTTGTGCATCATGTAAAAAAAGAGTGTATAAAGATGATGCCAATGAGGTCCAGGATAGCTTGAAAACATGGACTGTAGTAGTTGATGAAGCAGGAAATCCTAACCAAATGACTGAGGTACGTTAAGTTTACCTTGCTGTAAAACTCAGGAATGAATTCTGATTTGGGAATATGCCTTATTAATTTCCTTTTTTCGTCTATTCAGGATGGATTGGAAGAAGCTAAAAAGGAGGAGCTTGAGAATCGTTGCAAGGAGCAAGCAGCTAAAATTGAGCAGTTAAACCAACTGGTAGCATTTTCTATTTCGGTTTTGACCTCAATAAACTATTTCTTCTCCATATATTTGTCTCTTACATTTCAGGACTTTTATTCTGTTTTTAGGTAGAGCAATTCAAAAGTTGTGCAGAAAATGGTAAAGAAATGATACCATATGAGGAGTTCAAAGACGGAAAGAAGGTAGGTCGGAGTGCTTTATGTTTTTAACCTTTTCCTGTTCTGATATTAACTTCCTTAATTTTGGATGTTTAAAGTTCTCTTACATGTTAGTGGTGATTTTGTAGCTTGTGAGGGGCAGTTCTGTTGATATTCACCAACCAGAGATTATAAAGGAGAAATATGAAATACGGGAAGTTCAGACTCAGTTCGATCTTGGGTATGGGAATGCAGATTTTGATATGGATGAGAAGGAAGTACTACTTAAGGAAGTTCAGATGTTAAGGGCCAAATTGCAGTCACGCACTGATGCATTACCCAACAAGTCCACTGAGAGTCTGAGATCCTCTTTATTGTCACGATCCATGCAACTGCGAAAAAGTGGTGCATTTCAAGATAACAGCAAGGAAGAACTAGAGAAGGAAAGACAGAGATGGACAGAAATGGAGAGTGATTGGATTTCCTTAACTGATGACTTGCGGATAGATCTTGAATCCATCCGTCGACGAGCAGATAAAGTGGAGATGGAATTGAAATTGGAGAAGCAAAGCACTGAAGAGTTGGATGACGCGCTTCATAGATCTGTCCTTGGGCATGCTCGCATGGTTGAACACTATGCTGAACTACAAGATAAATACAATGACTTGGTTGCAAAGCACCGTGCAATCATGGCAGGAATAGCAGAAGTGAAGAGGGCAGCAGCAAAGGCAGGAGCAAAAGGTCGTGGATCTCGCTTTTCCAAATCCCTGGCAACAGAGCTCTCAGTATTGAGGGTGGAAAGGGAGAGGGAGAGGGAACTTTTAAAGAAGGAGAACAAGAGTCTCAAGATTCAACTGAGAGATACTGCAGAAGCTGTTCATGCTGCCGGAGAACTCCTTGTTAGGCTTAGGGAAGCTGAACATTCAGCATCAGTTGCAGAGGTAACTCATATTTCACCCTCAAACATAGGGGTGTGCCATCCACACACCCCTTTTTACTTCACACACACACCCCTAAACATATATCTTGGTGCTCTGGATATAGCTTACTTTGGAAAAGCCTAACATTCAGCATTTTTGCGATCAAGTATTGACCATTCGGTTTGAGTATTTTACAGTTACAGTACTTTACAGGCTTAGAGACCACTCAAGTTAATGGTTGTTCCAGGTTTTTTGGATAGAAAGGCTTGAAGTTTGTTTGTGTCTCTCATTAATTGTTTTTATCTTCTGTTTTCCCATAAACACAGGAGAATTTTAGGAATGTGCATCAAGAAAACGAAAAGTTGAAGAAGCAAATGGAGAAGCTTAAAAGAAAACACAAGATGGAGCTGATCACCATGAAGCAATACATGGCAGAGAGTAAACTGCCAGAGTCTGCTTTGCAACCACTAAACCGGGAGGACTCTGACATTCCGCAGAACACAATCATAGATGATGATCAGGCATGGAGAGCAGAATTCGGAGCCATATATCAAGAACATTACTGACTGGTCAAAATTTGAAACCAAAATGCAATTTGGAAAGTTTTGGTCTGCTCACTGGCAGTGCAAGCATTCAACTACCGATTTATCTGGTTTGCTCACAGGCAGTGCAAGCATTTAACTACCGATTTATCTGAATGAGACCCAACTTGGGGTTCATGCAATAGACAACAGTACTATGAATTTGTTCCTTTTCTATTCTTTTACCGAGTGCCTCAATCCATATGATTCAGTGTTTGTCTTGAAGCTATGTCTTGTAAATTTATTTTTCGGGATTAGACTCCATAATCTATTGCCAAGGATTCACAATACACGGTATTAAATAGAAAATATCTTATTCTATTGTGTTTTCATGTCTTAGTAACTTATTACTTTATATTTGCTAAAACAATCATCCAAATTTCTAGCTTCATAAGCTTACAAGTAAATTGTGTGCTTTTTCATGATGATTTACAGAATTTGACAGAAAATGAGGAATTTCTGACAAATCTTAGATGTTTGTTGACACTGTTGGATAGTGGCCAAATTGTGGCCAAGTGGCCATCACCTTTCCTAATAAACAAACCAAAAGAAAAAAAAAAGTGAAAGGCATCATGATTATGTTTGTTGAAAAGAAAAAAGGAAAGTCATGATGATGTTTGTAAAGTAATCATTATGTCTTTACTTTGGTTTTGTTTATTAGTTGTTTTAGGATGGATGAATGTTAGCATACGGAAGTGAGAAAGAGAGAGGGGGGGAGCGGCATCAGATGAGAGAAACCAGGGAGAGCATTCGGCTCTCCCATTTGAATATGAGCTGCTCCTTCCCACCATTTGTAATAATCCCCTTTTATTAGTAATCACTCAATCAAAGATATTTGTGCTACATTTTGTGGCTTTTGGGAGAAAAGGAATTTGGTATATGTTTCCATCTTCTCCATTTGTTCTTTGTGAGAGTGAGAGCTATTGGGTGTATGTGAGATTTGGGTTTGAGAGTTAAAACTCTATTTGTAATCTCCATTTTGATATTAGTGGAATTTCCTCGCCGTCTCGGAACTGGACGTAGGCTTACGCCGAACCAGTATAAATCCTTGTGTCATTTGGATTATTTGTCTTATCATATTTTGCCGTTGTTGCTTATTGGTTTCATATTTGACGCTTCCGCACAACAAGTGGTATCAGAGCTCCGGGTTTCGACTTGGAGGCTTTGTACTAGTATGTCTATGAAATCTTCGAATGACGGTGAAATATGTTTTTTTTGAAAAAATTCGACAGGAGGAATGACTTTGGCATTTGGTCAATTGGAGAATGGTTTCGGAAACAGCGTGTCTGCTGCAATGTTGTTGTCGATGTTGTTGAAGTGTTGGTGTTCGACGGCTGCAGGTGTAGTGTACTGCTTTTGGTGGGTTTTCCGTTGGTCATCGTTGCACCGGAGGTGTTTGTGGGTTGTTGTCGACGAGTTGAGTGGGAAGGAGAAAAGGTAGAAGCAGTTGAAAATTGAAAAGAAAATGTTGGTTCTTTTTCTTTCGGCATTTGTTTTGGCAGAAGGACATCATGATGACAAATGATGTTGTTGGCTAAAGAAAAGGGAAAAGGGCTAAGGCTAAGTTTTCTTCTCTTTGGCATTTTTTCAACGATAGAGAAGTTTTTCTTCACTCCCACTAGTTGCCTTTGGAGCAAGTTGATGGAAACATTGGAGGAGTTTGTGAGGGCCAATTTGTTGAATTCTGCAAGTTTGGATAGTGAGACACCACACTATTTTGGAGACACCTAATGCGGAACATTTGTGTGGAACCCTCTTGTAGAAGGCAAGTTATATGCTTTCTTTGTTTGGTCTATGGATATTTGGTTGGATTTGTTTGCCACTGCTATTTGGTCTGTTGGTCTCCATCATCTGCAATTAGTTTTCTTGAAGACTCCAGTTGAGGTATGGTTTTGGATCTCCTGCTGATTATTTGAATTTGAAATTTTGGTTGTCCTGTTGGTGCTCATGTGATGATGGTAAACTTGAGTGAAGGGCATATTTTTGTATGTGGTATGTGAGACTTTGTTGCCAAATTTGTAATCAGTTTTGACTTGGAGAATGTGCCATGCTATTTGAATGAGTCTATTGGTGCAGTTTAAGACCATGGTGTTTGTGAGCAGGTGGAGTTCGTTGTGTGTCCAACTTTGGTATGGTGCGCTTGATCTTTTGTTGGTGATATTGAAGAATTTAGTTCTTCGTTTGAATCACTTTTGTTTTTTGGTCAAGGCACTTATGTTTTGCAAATTTGGAGAAGACGGTAGAGAAATGGTCTACTTTTGTTGGCTTTGGTACAATTTGAGTCGAGGTGGTGATCATTATGAGTACCGAGAGTTTGGGGAATTTGATTTAGTTCCCGTTGTCTTTAGTTTGTACTTTGGGTGCTTATGGTGGTTGTTGATTCGATTCTCTGTGATGTTTTCGGAATTTGGCCAAGGTGGAGATTGTTGGATAGTGGCCAAATTGTGGCCAAGTGGCCATCACCTTTCCTAATAAACAAACCAAAAGAAAAAAAAAAGTGAAAGGCATCATGATTATGTTTGTTGAAAAGAAAAAAGGAAAGTCATGATGATGTTTGTAAAGTAATCATTACGTCTTTACTTTGGTTTTGTTTATTAGTTGTTTTAGGATGGATGAATGTTAGCATACGGAAGTGAGAAAGAGAGAGGGGGGAGCGGCATCAGATGAGAGAAACCAGGGAGAGCATTCGGCTCTCCCATTTGAATATGAGCTGCTCCTTCCCACCATTTGTAATAATCCCCTTTTGTTAGTAATCACTCAATCAAAGATATTTGTGCTACATTTTGTGGCTTTTGGGAGAAAAGGAATTTGGTATATGTTTCCATCTTCTCCATTTGTTCTTTGTGAGAGTGAGAGCTATTGGGTGTATGTGAGATTTGGGTTTGAGAGTTAAAACTCTATTTGTAATCTCCATTTTGATATTAGTGGAATTTCCTCGCCGTCTCGGAACTGGACGTAGGCTTACGCCGAACCAGTATAAATCCTTGTGTCATTTGGATTATTTGTCTTATCATATTTTGCCGTTGTTGCTTATTGGTTTCATATTTGACGCTTCCGCACAACAGACACATCCCGATCCTAGAATCAAGGCGTGCTGGCCGTCACGTGAGTGTGACGTAACCAAAAGTGCGACACGGAAGCAAAAGATAAGAGAAATACGAATAAACAAAAACCAAATACTAGCAATAATAACCAAGTAACGTGCTAGAGTAAGTTTAAGTGTGAAACACACAAATTCAGAGCATAAGAGTAGGACCATAACTAAAATACAACACCCGCAGGTGAGTCCTACATTTATGTAGTCTGTCAGTACGCCGTGGGAATCCTCGTGGGCCACCAACACTGCTAACTAGAACCTAGAGGGGCGCAAAACAAAATTGAGTGGGTCAGTAAAACCAAAGCTTTTCGAAAACATTTCATCAAAACAATTCTAACCCCTCGCTGTAAAACCTATATACTTTCCCAGAAAATAACATAATAGTAAATAATTCCTCATATCTCAAATCATCAATCTTTATCAATTCTAGAAAATATGCCATGCCATAAATGTCAATAACAGATTATGAATGCATCAATATAACAGGTGACATAATGAATCAACCGGAGACCCTACAGTTGATCCTGTACGGTTAATTCCATAGCTCAATATCCAAACCAACCGGAGTCACCACGGTGACCTGTACAGCACTACTCTGCACATAAGTCGGAACTCCTGAAGTAGTCTGTACAACAAGAATGGTGTAATAATACGCTCTAGTGCTTCTCTCAACAATCATCTGTGCACATAATCTAAGGTCACCTACCAGTCGGAACCACCTCTAGTGATCTGTACGACTAGCATGTCGGAACCCTCTCATGGCCTGTACGACATGCACCTACTTGGATCTAAGGTGAGCGTGCGGTGCGGTGAATACTATAAGCACTAACACCAGGGTGCAAGTTTTGAGCTCTCAACACAATTCACATCATCAATGATTCACATAAATAACATAAAACTCACCTGATACTCACATGTGCGTCCACAGCACCAATTCATATATATATATATGCATCAATTACTAATTCATATAATTCATAATATGCATGCATGGCATTTGAAAACATACTTTCATTTTAATTCAATTTCTGGGAAAATCAATAGTATATAGGTAATAACAGAAAATAACTGCCCACTCACTGATAAGTCGAATGGTCGTAACCCCCGTGACGCCCTTGAATCCGCTCGTCCTCGGGATAGGTATCACCTATATGCAAAACAACTAAAACAACGTTTTTTAAAGCACATAACCGACAATTCGCAATAACTTCTCATACGGTGCTCAATTTGGGTATATGAATATACCACGGTGACCTACTCGACGTCACGGACGTCGAGGTATTTTTAGAAAAAAAATTTCGAGGCCGCACGCGCCCCCACGCGCCGGGAGGGGCACGGACGTACGCACTCCACGGGCGTCATCTTCTTCCTCCAGTCGCCGGACTGGTTTTCCAATCACCGGAAAACTGGAGATTTTTCAATCTCCTTGTTCTCCGTCATTTCTCAACCATTTTTCACGCATTTTATATCAAAATGAAGCCCTAATCATGTAGAATCACGTTACACTACTTTAAGGCTCTAAAAACTACGAAATCTCACCGGAGAAATTTCAAGAAAACCGGCCAACTTCGAACTCAACGATCTCGACGTCCAAAACCTTCAAACTAAGCACTCCGAGCTTCCTTAGGACCTCACTAAGCTCACTATAAGCTTAGAATTCCCTGAAAATCAACACATCACGAATGCATGAACAGTACTTAAATTGGACCTCGAGTTTTCAACGTGATATCGAGGGTTCTAAGTTCTAAAAATGGTACCATTCAACTCAGGAGGTCGAAATGATGAAGAACCTTACCCTTTTGGCGTCGATCCGTGATGATTGGAGGGTTTTATGCTTTGGTCCGTACGTTTTCGAGAGGGAGAGAGTGAGACTGAAACGGAGAGGAGAGAGAGAGCACGGGGAAGAGAGAGGAAATGTTTGACCCGTGTGTATGTGTGTGTGGTCCATCGCAAAATAATCACCATCCATTTCCTTAACTCCCTAACCACAAAAATACAACCTTATCCAATTTAAATTTTCCAAAACTTAGGAAATATGCATATTCAATAACATGCCACACACATACCTTAGTAACCGTCAAAGGTACTTTCGTCATTTCACAACCTCGATAAATAGAATCTCGGGACGGGCTGTGACAATCTACCCTCCTTATAGAATTTCATCCTCGAAATTCATAGAACCAGTCACCAC